TTATATATAATTAATTATTTCCTATTTTTAAAAATGTTGAATGGTGTTTGGGACATATAAAAAATGAAATGTTGCAGGGTGTTTGGGACGGAGGAAGTATATTTTTATAGTAAATATTAAAAAATATATATGTGTAGTTTCCTTAAGAAATTGATAAATTTTACAGTAAAGTAAATAAATAAATAAATAACAGAGCGATGATAATTGAGGTAAAATATTGTTCAAAGTGAGTACATGATTATTTATTATTAGTTCTATTATAGAGTCAAAAAATTGAAGCTTAACCACAAAATATTTATTGAAGGGTAGACAACATTAATTTTTACTTCACATCAAATTTAATTACAACTCATTAAACGCATGTCCGTACCGCAATTAATATTCTTGACTGTTTTTATTTTTTTCATACATAATAATTTCTCGCATCATGGACTCTGGTCAACGCCCTGAAATCAACGGCTCTGATTTGATCCCTACACATGATGACGCGTGAGAACGCCACGTCAGATTGGGTAAGGTTTAGTTCGACCATGGTTAGGGTTAGGGTTAGGCTGACTATGGTTAAGGCATCATTATAGCTCACACTTGCGTCTTATTCTATTCGCCGCTTTAGCCACTGTCCTTTAGTTTGTCGTTTTCTCACACTCATTCAAAATCATTTGGTTTTTATTTTATTTTTATTATTTTTTAGTGATAATTAGAATACAAAATAAAATAAAATAAAATAGAAACATGTCCTAAAGTATTAGTTTAATAGTATTGTTTTTTATTTAAAAAAAAAAATTACATTTTAAATTTATTTTTATTAATTTAAAAATAATTTCATATAAACATTACTTTCAAAATATAACTAAATAATAATAACATTTTGATCGACTAAATTATTTTCAATTATTATAGTTGAGTTCTTTTTATATATTTAATTTTTTATTTCTCATATCGATCATTTTAGTTTCTATTTCATTATTTTAAAAATATTATTTTCTTCATTGTTTTTTCACGTAAATTTTTAAATATTAGTATTATATTTGATTGTAGTAAAAAAGACAAAAATACTCTTATTAATATGGTGTAATATAAAAGTAACGATATTTGTGTAATATACTGTAAGTTGAAATGATATTTATTATGTTAAGTATGTAGTATAATTACTAAATTAGGAAATGGTAACCTTATTTTGGGAAATATAGTAACCTTTCAATGGGACATATGAAATATATTTATTAATATAGTTCAATTACAACATAATAGATTATTTGTTACTCTCTCCGTCATCCAAATCTCTACTCACTTTTCTTTTAGGGTTGTTATCAAAAAAATATTTTTTTTTTTAAGTAAAAAATGATTACACTTTTGCATTTTTTTTTACTATAAAAAAATAAAAATAAAAATTATTATTCACTTTTATTAAAATTCGTGTTCAGTCAAATGAGCACACGTTTTACATGAAGTAAAGAATATTTCAAAAGAATAAAATAGAAATCATTTCTTTTTTACCCCAAAATATTTCAATGTCAGCCTGTTAAAATTCAATTCATTGTATTTGAAATTCCTCATTTTTGTTTAGTGTGATTTTATTTTATTTATTTATTTTGAAGTTTTCGTATCTTTATGTCAAATAATTGCTTCGATGTTGTATTTTTTTAATGAGAAGTTGGTATTAAATGCAGTAAAATTAATAATTTGAATACTTAAAAATGAAATTAATATGAAAATATAAGTAAACCAATTTAATAATAAGACAAAATTTTCCATAACTCCCTTGTGATTACGAAACTCAGTGTAAATTCTTCCTCTACTTTAAAAATTGCATGGTACCCCCTTATACTTTAAAAAACGTTGTATGAAACTCCACCACTATGAAACTTTCCTCATGTGATAAGAAGATGATTTCCTATCTATATGTTTTGCATGACAGGAGGATTTTATGCAATATTTAAGCGTCATGCAATTTTTTAAAGTAAAATGAAAATTTATGCTGAGTTTCGAAACCACAAAGTGGTTTCATGCAATATTTTTTAAAATATAAGGGGGTACCATACAATTTTTAAAGTAGAGGGGGAATTTACGCTGAATTTCGAAACCATAAGAGAGTTATGGACAATTTGTCATAATAATAATAATAATAATAATAATAATTATTATTATTATTATTATTATTATTATTATAAAAAAAAAGATAAATGGGCTGAAACAGGCCCAGATGACACCCAGTGAGCCCAACATGAGCTGAAATTAAACTATATATTTATTATTATTAACTAGTAAAAAGAAAAAGGTTCTATTTATATATAAATTAATTTTTTTCAATATTATCCATCAATAATGATATTTAAAAAAAAAATCACTTTAAATAAAGTTTTTTTTTTTTGAATACTGAATTAAATCAATATTAACATTTTATTATTTTAAAATTATAAAAACTTGTATTTAGATGGAGTTATACATTAAATAATTATAAGTATTTATTTAATTGATAAAGTAGTGGGAAAGCATTGACAAAAAAGAAATCTATAGGCGTTGGATTTTTGTGCATAGAACAAAGCCTGAATTGTTCTGTTCCGCCTGTGACAGACAATTAGTACACTGACATATTACAACGCCAAAATATTTTTATTACTATAATTTCTTTAATTATTTATATATTTTGGGCCCACAATACATTTTATAATTCGAATAAAATCTTCTCACAAGTAACGAAATATTCTCCTTCGTGTGTAATACTGTATTAATTAAATTAAATCAGTTCTACACTGTTTTATATTTCGATCAGTTTCCTAAATAATTTATTCATTTTTTCATTTCGTCTATTCCATAACAAAGTATTCATTTTTTTTAAATAATTATACTATCTATTTAACAATACAAATATCATTCCAATTTACAATATACTACAAAAATATCATTACATTTATATAATACAATATTAATAGAGTTAATTTAATCTTTTCACTTTTATTTGTACTTTATCCCAATATAACACTGATATTTCTAAAACACAATGCAAAAAGCAAATAAATATATAGATATGGGACGGAGGGAGTATAAAAAGTTATTGTTATAATATACTCCCTCCGTCCCGCGAAAGATGAAGCTTTTTGTTAGGGATATGGTATTTTAGGTAGTATAGGTTATTAAGTTATTGATAATAAGTTAAGATAATATTTTATTATTTTTTATATGTGTAGTGTTGTTGATATTTTAAATATTTTTACAATTATATCTCAATAAAATATATGCAATATGGATATCATTTTGTAGACAATAAAATTTTATATAATACAAAAGAATAAAAGAATATATTTATTTATTTATCATTATCATAAATTAGTTTTATAAAAAATGAGGAGTTTTAAAGGTAGATAAAAATATTTGTTAATTGTGGAGAAATATAGAAATAAAGAGGTTTTGAGTGGATCTAGATTTATATTTGTTAAATATGTTTAAGATTGATAAATTTGTCAAAAATGAAAATGAATCATCTTTTGTGGACGTACCAAAAAAATAAATAGGGTAATCTGTGGCGGGACGAAGAGAACATTTTTTAAAAATAGTACATTATAAATTAAGTAGTAAATATATATTTGGATGCATAATACCTAACTTCGGTTTTAAATTATAGTTTTATAAAATTATAATACGTTTGTTGAATAATAAACAATATTAATTATGGTAGAATTACTTAAATATATTATATATTATATTATTATATATTTATAATAAACGTTTGTATTGAATGTTCTTATAAATTAATTAAATGTTTACGTGTTTGATAATAATAATAAAAAAAATTGTTTTTAGAGTCGCACATAAAATTGATATTTTATGAAAATGTATGAAGTTTATGCTGGGCGGTTCATAGCAGGGGCAGGGTGAGCTGCTTATGGCCCAAATTAATAGAGACCTATATTTTAAATAGTATTTATTATTATTATTATTATTATTATTATTATTATTATTATTATTAAATTTTAAAATTAAATTTTAACTTTTAATGTATATATTTTTTTTCTTCGTAATTATTCTATTTAATTTTAAAATTAAATTTTAATTTCTAATCATATATATATTTTTTTATTTCTTTATAATCGTTATACTTCTTTATCTTACATTTGCCCTAGCAATTCGATCAAACCTGCCTCATCTTTTTCTTCACCCTCCTTCTGTCTTTGCTTTTTGAACTTTCAGACAGATTGTCTTTCATCTTTTTTTCTCAAATTGACATTGTCCAAACGGTTATATTCAACCTCTTGTCTAATCAAAGTCAATCAACAATATTATTAAAAATACATTTTAATCATGTATTTGTAGGGCTATAATTTATTTTCGCTCATAGCCTAAAAAAAAGTTCGAGACGGCCTTGAATTTATGTATGATATAAATACTAATTATCATACGAATTGCCTCATATATGCACTAGATTTATTTAATTTTAAAATAAGATTATTATTATTATTATTATTATTATTATTATTAATAATTCAAAAAGGCTGATGCAACGCTCATTCTTCTTTGATGCATCAAAGAAGTCGACTTGTTAATACTTTTATAAAATGATAAGACTATATAATATATATATATATATTTATATAGTATGAGTATTTCTATATTGTATTTTTTTATTTGATACCCACTGTACTAAACTAAAAATAAAAATATAGTTTGGGTGGGAGCCGAGCCGAATACCCTATCTAGCAGGAGAACTTGGAGACACCGGAGTTTGAATCTGTGACCTCTTGATCACAAATTCACTTTAACACCGCCAAACCATTTCACTCAAACCTCCGACGCCTCATGTCACCTTTCACATATGGTTCGCTTAGTGTGACTGAACTGTTGGATCTGGTTTGCAGGGTATTATATTCGACTAGGGGTTTACCCAGTGCGCACTTTCGGGTAGCGACTACGAATTCCCGCATAATTTACAGAATATTAGGTTCGGCCAAAGTTTACTAAGTACAGTACTTTTAGGTAGTTACAGCGAATTCTCCCGTTAAAAATAATAATAATAAAAAATAATAAAAAACATAAGTAAACAATACAAGGATTAGGACAAGATACAAATTTCATTGTTCGATTGCTTTGTTCAAAATATGTACAAGTGATCGTCATCTCTCAAGGCCCTTAAATCTTCGACCTCGGAACCATCCGCCATAAGAATCCTCGTTCCTCGTCTCCCAAACTTCTTCTCTATTTTTTTTTGTTTTTTCGGCAATAAAAAGAAATATATATAAAAAATTATACCACAAAAAATATTATAAACGATACGAAATAATCATATACACATTTTATTTTTTTTTTCCTCACCGGCTAATGACAAAAGCTCGTCGATTGTGTTAGGAAGATGAGCAAGTTTTCCCCCATCTTCCTCATCGTCTCGGCTATTGGGATGGTGTCCGTGAAGCACCACCCGTATAGGGAGCATGCCTGGGGCACGAACGGTCGAGTTTCCTGAGTAAATAGTCGAATACTCAAAACATGTGCATGTATTTATCGATATGTCAAGTGCGCGACATTGCGCATAAACTACTCATGAACATTGCCTAGACAAATACACAATGTGTCCTAACCTTGTAAGTGACTTAATTTAAGGATGTTCAATGAAATGAAGAAACTAGAGCATTTGCGGCTTAATTTAAGGATGTTCGATGAAATCAAGAAAACTAGAGCATTTGCGGCTTAATTTAAGGATGTTCGAGGAAATCAAGAAAACTAGAGCATTCATGACTTAAAATTTAAGGATGTTCGATTCGCGACTTAATATAAGGATTTTCGATGAAATCAAGATAACTCTCTAAGATCGAGTATGATCAATGACTTATCGATACGCAAATGTATATAGGAGTTTAGAAAATGGAAGGTATCTAAGCTATAGCTTACTCTGCATTTCGTCGCTATGTCCCTCTGATCCTTGAGGCTCGCCGGAAGGCACTGTTGTCTGAAAATAAGGCGATGTCAATCGACAAAGGAAAGGCCACGAGACAATGTAATAAAAAGACAACCCCAAAGTCGTCGACATTAGCGTAATTTTACCTCAGCATTCGATTCGCCTAATAAGTCGATGGCCGATGGGATCTCCTCTAGCTCCTCCTTTTTCAAGTCTCTCAAGTGCTGAAATCCGAAACAACACCATGAATGTCATTACGATGCAACTGATGGAATGTGTGTTTTTAGTTTTCGGGATTTTTACCTGAAGAAAGTTCGATACAATGATCTTCCCGTCATCGCTGAGCGGCTGCACCAACTGCTTGAAGTGATTGTGGCTAATCCGAATGACCTGCGATAGTCGTTTAGTCCTCACTGTGAACGGCTGAGGAATGTTGAGCATCACGCCGATTTCGCCAAACATTTCCGGCGAGGCTAGCTTCGACAGGTACTGCAAAATTACGATCGATTCCTCGGTTAATAATCGCTATTTTTCATTCAAATTATTACAACTCATCAGTTATTACCTGCTCCATCCCATTGTTGTTTGTTAGAACATCCTGCATTTTGTCGAAAACTATTAAGGATTTTGAGCGCGCCGGAAGGGACTTTAAAAGACAACGAGGTAGAGTATTGATCATACCACAGCGCCGGAGACTATGATGTAGAAATCCGTCGGTATTTCATTTTGTATTACGACGTCTACTTTCGGTGGGAAGTACTCTGCCCGCATCTCGGGTACCTACGTTTAGTTACACATCGATCGCGTTTATTACAACATGAATTCCCACGATGCATCGCGTAAGAATGTAAAAAGAGCACCAACAACGTTACCAGTTGGACGATGAAGTCTTCGGAGACTCCTTTGAAGAGGTAGCTATTGTCTACGGTTGCGCGAAACAAATGTTGTGAAATTCCTGATCGTATGGCCTTAGGCAAAGTTTCGAGTACTTCTTCTTGCTGAAGTTCCGCGGTCTTAAATTTCAGCGTGACGTGCGCGAGCATTTGCTCCTTTAAGCTCTCGGGAAGCCGGTTCTTGCTCGAATATCTTAGGACCTCATTGATCGCATCCCTCTTAAGACAACAACATATGGTTAGGACAACAATGTCGTCGCCATGGATCAGCTGCTGATCCAGCTATATAATAGAAGTGACCAACATATATTTTTATATAATACAAACGTATATTATATTATAACTCAGCATATGCTATCTTATAACACAACATATACTTAAATATGTATAAACTAGTCACCCATATAGAAAATGCTAAACCGATTAAATCAGCACCACGCTGACCTAACCGGATCAGCACAGGATCTGCAGCATAAATTGATGTAAGGTTGTTGTTAGTTACCATGGCGAATGTCCGGACCGAGCTGTGGACGATGAGATTGGTCATGTTTCCGATCAAATAGGCGGTGAGGCCGATGTTGAAAAGCATGTAGAAAATGGAGAATACCTTCTCCCCCGTGTTCTCGGCGTGGAGGTCGCCGTATCCGGTCGTCGACAGAGTGACGATCGCCCAATACATCGAATATGTGTATCCTAACCACACACTCCTCTCCTGAAAATTCGGAACTTGTACTCCGATCCATGTGTTGTCCGCTGTGCGATAATGCACGGCGAGCCAAAAATAGAAGCATCCGGAAGTGTGCACGGCGAATAGCGTCACCTGTTTGCCGCCGTTGCGGTTTCGGACACAAAATGTTAGGTAAGAAGCGAGCACATTATTAGATGACGGAGGTAGTAATAATTTCGAACATAGACTCACACAAATTAGTTTGATGCATCTTGTCCAAAAGTAGCTAAATCTTGTGTCCTTCTCCAACCTGAGATATGTTTGTATTATGTGATCAATCGAATTTACTTTTAGGTATAAATTTTGAAAATTTTGGAGATTTCGTAATAATAAAAAATTAGTATTTGATATGAAATATTTTTTTAAAAAAGATAAAAAAAGTATTTGACGCTATATATATTTTTAAAAAATTACTATCATAAATACTTTAAAAGTTTCGAAATTATCTTATATAAGCATACCTTGAAAAGAGTTCGCTGACGCGACGGAGACGCCACAACCGGAGCAAGTTGAGGAAGCCGAAAGCATCGCTATGGGAAGTTCTCCCGGTGAAAATTTTGTACAAAGTTTGGAACGGAAGGGTCGAGGCTACGTCCATCGGGAACCATAAATGCGAAATATACCTGAAAATCAATCACCATAAATCATCGATCATTTTTAGTTGTTTTTGTTGTAAGATTTTTTTATTTTTAATTTTTTCCGTACTAAGCCCGGCAGAGGTGTACCTACCTCAAGGCTATTTTCTTGTGATCATCGACGAGCAAGTATGTAGCTTTGTCGAGATACGCAACGAAGAAAGTTAGAATAATATCGATGCCAAAGAAGGCGTCGACCACTAAATCAATTGGCAAAAGTGCGCTAGTCGACATTTTCCGGAAAGCGAGCTCGAACGGCGACGCCCACGCCGAGTAAACCACCAACACCACTAGAAAGGTTTGCCACCACCTATACATGGGAGCACGGCTATTTGAGTAACAATAATTTATTATATCAAATAATTATTTAAATTTCCTACGAAGTAATAATGACTAAATTTTGATGTGATTATTTTGAAAAAAAAAAAATATATGATAGAATATTACTATATACATTCCAAATTTCAAACAAATCAATTTATAATGTCATACATATACAAAAATACAAAATAGTGAAAAAATAAAGTGTAAAAATCAAGGATGTATTGTGTTTGTACTCTTATTATTATTTTTTTATATACTAATAAAATTATCGTAATATATATTTACAAACACCATTTTTAATGTGTTTTTCTATTTAAAACTTGTTTAGTTATTATTAAAAACATTGTACCCTATTTTTAGCAGAGCAAAGACCAATTAATATTGAATATTTATTATGTATTTATAGTTTTAAAGTATTTTTATGGTAATATAAAAAAATTATGGAAGTATTACAAAAATAATATTTTGTATTTTTTATTGATTTTTTATTACTTATATATATATATTGCATATTATATATTTTTAAGAAAACATGAATATTAAAGTATAAGTAAATATTAAATTATTAAGCAAAAAAATGTGCAATGCAATCACATGATTTTAAAATATCCTACTTTCTCCGTCTATTTTCTATTGTTCTAAAGTATATTTACACGGTTTTTTAGGTGATTATCTTTTTGTTATGAATGGACAAATTTTCCTTTAAGTGTATGGTAAAGATTAAAAGTAATAAATGCATGAAGAATAAAAATATAAAATTTGTGTTTAAAAAAAAAAAAAAAAGAAAGAAGAAGGGTGAATGTTAAAGCAATTAATAAATATTTATTTAAATATTCGATTCTTTACTTCTGTTAAAAATATATTTTTTCAGATATATATATATATATATACTTTTATTGTGTACGATAATTATTTTAAAAATAAATAAATAATAATAACAATCAACTTTGGATTCGAAGATTAAGTGGAGGAAGTGCAATTAATATGATGTCACCACGATGGAGGCAAGTAGTGCCAAAGGTCAGAAATTGCCAAAATTATATTCTCTACTTTTATTGACTATGCCCCTAAGAGTAGATAAATATTATATTTTTTTTACAAAAAATAAATATTAAAAAATATATATATATTGTACTAAAATATTATAAATAAGGGTATAAAGGAATATATCTACACGATTGAATAAGATCAGGTAAGAAAATTTTTTATCCACAAGTAGTAATATTAATTATGTGAACTGGATTATTATTGTAACATCAAGTTAGTTAAAAAAAACAATAATTTATAATTAAATAAAATATATATATATATACATATATGTATTATTAGAGAATGATTAAGGTACTTGGACATATATAAATTATCAGAACATAAATTCAAATACTACATTATAGATTAATTTGACAATTTAAATGTTACATATGTGTTTGTATAAAGACACATATGCTGAAATCAATGATAATGAAAGTATGTGTTATATTGACTATTATTACGTACTGTAGAGTTAAAAAATCATTTTTTTGTCATAATATAATAAAAATTCATCAATTTTAATTATAATATAAAAATTTTATCAAATTTGATCCCAATATAACCAAAACGTATAATTTTTTGTCCCAATATAACTAAAACTCATCGTTCTTGGTCCCAATATAAATTTTTTTTATCAATTTTAGTTCCAATATAACCAAAACTCATAATTTTTTGTCTCAATATATTCAAACTTTATATTTTTTTGTCCCACCGTCAATAAACCGACGGAAAATGCTGACGTGGACTTACAAGATTGTGCAATTTCTTCATATTTAAATATAAGGTTTGATTTCTTTTTACCTCAGCATTTTCCGTCGGTTTGTTGATGGTGGGACAAAAAAAATAAGGTTTGATTATATTGGGACAAAAAATGATGAGTTTTTGTTATATTTGGACTAAAATTAATAGAATTTTTATATTGGGACAAAAAAATAATGAGTTTTGATTATATTGAAACTAAAAATGATTTTTTTCGGGCTTAATAATACAATTAATACCTTAACCACCTCATTATTAACGGAGTATTAAATTACGAAATAGGGGTAAGTAGCAATAAATGAATATATACATGGTAGAAAAAAATATATAGTAAAATAATCGAAATAAATTAGTGCAGGTGACACATCAGCATCTATGCTACAGAAATAGAAATTGAATTATGCATTAGTTTCGTCCTTACTAGTAAATCGATTAAGCAACGAAGCTACACACTAATCAGACCTTGATTTAAATATATTAAAAATTTGTTAATCACTTATTCACATAATAAAAATATATATATATAATTTTGTTTGATTGGAAAATTTTATATTTCTAATACATATACAGACCTCATTTTCTTTAAAATAAAAAAATCGATGAATGATATATATTGTGATAAGAAAAAAATAAAAAAATAAAAAAGGTTCACAATAAAATAACGAATTTAGATTTGAAGTAAAAATGTTTATCATCTTCAATTTCATATGGAGTTTTGATTAATAAATATATATATATATATATATTTTAAAAAATGGCGTAAATCCTAATCCGGATGAAGAAAAGCTTTTGCAAGTGAGGGGTGAAGGAAGCTTCGAGAGAGATGCAATAACAGAAATGGTTATGCGTTTACACACACACATACATACAAATACGTACAGATTAGATATGTAAACGATGAAGAAAATCAATACGTGTATATATATATATAGATGTATGTATGTATGTATGCAGCAGCGGCGAGGGGGAAAGGAAACGTGAAGCGGCGGCGTACCTGTATCGTCGATCGTAAGGCGCGATAACGAATTTTTTTAGATTGACGGTGCCATCTCCGACAACCGTACCGAAAGCCGGCAACAAACTGCTGGAAATCGAAGCAAGGTTCCTGATCTCGCCGCTCGAATGCCGGCGGTACAGTAGCGGAGCCGGCGATCTCATATCCGCCGTCAACGGCGACCGTCTTTCCTCCGACATTTAACCGTCTCCGGTACGCTTCGATTCGATTTCCTCTCAACTTCTATTCATCAAAATTCACACAAAATCAGTTAGCAGTATGAGGAGATACATCTAATCTCTGTTTGAATAAATACCGCTCGAAATCACAACTTCAGAACAAAAATATTAATTAAATGCAACCGATGCTGTTGAACATGAGAGAATGAATCCAAATTCTCACAGATGTTGACTTACCAAATAGATTTTCGACTATTTCCGATGGATTAAAACTATTTTTATAGCTGCAACTTGGATTAAATTATTGCTAGATTGCCTGTTCCAAGTTTGAAATCTCTTCTGAAAAGGAAAACACATTTATTACTTTGTGAATAAAATATTTGGTAATTCCACTTAACTGCTCATCCTGTGCATAAACAATTCACCTTTTACTTTTCTTCCTGGAGTTCATTATCAAAATCAAGTTGACAATGAGCTAAATGAAGGATTGTTGACGGTTGATATGACAATTAGATGGAAATTTTAAATAAAATTGATACTGGAGAAGAGAGACGTACGTGTCTTGAGCACAGCGATACAGAGCGAACATTAGCTAGCTAGGTTTGACTATGGAGTTCGTGAATCCATAAATGGATCAAGTTGAGTAATTCAAGACACCGTTGTAGGTTTCCATAATGTTTGTAATATATTTATAAATTATTTTAAAATAAATGATGCCTTCTCAATTTATCTTGTTATTATTATTATACTACGGCGTCAGTTAGGATTTTATTTTATTAGATTAGTATATTAATTTAAAATAATTAGTATTTCTTTTTATAAGAAAGATAATATATTCCCTATATTCCCTATTTTATTAGATTAGTATATTAATATTTCTTTTTTTAAAATTTTAATTTTTTTATAAAACTAATTTATGTTAGTATACTATAAAATGATATTTATATTGTATATATATATATTTATTGAGACATAAGGTTAAAAAATATTAAATATTTAAATACATATTTTAATTTTATTAATCATATATATACTACTAAAATATATTTATATTCCACAATCATTAAATATCTGATCTTTATTATTACTATCCTGTATAATTTGTTTATAATGTTCAAATCATAATATATATATTCTATATAATTATGTAACGTGTTATGTTATATATTATTTATATTTGTTGCGTGAGAGATATATTAAGATGTTCGGTAAAATTTGCATATTAAGTTGAAGTTATAAATTGTGCAGCATATTATTATATAATATGCTCTGAAAATATATGCTATTAAATATATGTTTTTTTTTTTTTTCTACGAATATGTGTTGTTTGAATCGTGCATTATTATTTATTCTTCAATTCGAGATGTTATATATATATATATGTAGGTACATATTCTCCCCATCATATAAAAATATGTTTATTTGATTTGGACACAAATTTTATTGTAGTGTGTATATATATATTCTCCTTTTATATAGTAAAAAAGTAGATAAAAATGATGAAAAAAAGAATTTAAAAACTATATTATATTTGTTTAATTTAAAGTATTGTAGCGTGACAGGTGACCTAAAGCATGGGAATTTGAATCAATGACCTCATTGTCAAACGTCTAACCACCGGACCATCTCCTACGGGACAACCATAAAATATTTTGTTTGGATGTAGTTGAGCAGTCGGCTTTAGGGATTTGAAGAAAAAATTGAAATTTAATTTCAACATATATTTCATTTGATATAAATAGAAGTTAATATAATATTTTAAATATAATTTTTTTCAGTGCAATATTTAAAAATATTTGGTTCGATATATTTTATTATTTTTTAAAAAAAATAATAGTAGAATTTAAATTTGAAATCTCCAAACAAACATGATCAATCGATTACATTCAACTCTAAAATAATTGAGGAGGCCCTAGTTAAAAAAGATTTTCATTATTATTCTCAACATTAGAGGGTTTGTTTGGTTGTACTTCGAAAAATAACTTCTGCTTTTTTTTTTTTTTTTCTCTCTCTTAAGTTTATATATATATATATATATATATGTTATTTTCGTTCCAATTTAAAATACTATATTTACAATTTTCATCTGTCTCATTTCAAAGTATCTATTTTCTATTTTAGAAAAAATAATCGTACACTAATACCAAAATACCTTTGAACTTTATCTAAATTACAAACATTCATTACACGTACAATTACTTTATACAAAAACTCAAAAGACAAAAATATCAAAACATTTTACGCACTTTCACTCATTAATAAAATATTACTCCATGTGTCCCACGTACCATGTCCACGTTGCCATTTCTGTCTATCCCACATACCATGTCACTTTTCTTTTTTGGAAAATAATTACATACTTTAATCTCATTTTAAACTTTTTAATTTTATTTTTAAAAATTTTAATTAAACTAATTAGTTATCTTAATCTTAATTTATAATTATTTATATTATAGAATAATTATTTTTACTAATACATTCTTAATTATCTAGTAATTATATCCCTCCTAAAATACGTGTCTACAGTGTAGCAGATACGGTATGTGAGACGGAGGTAGTATTATTTTTTAATTTATCATAAAATCTAAAATGACCCTTTAATAATGGAGTATATATTCGCTTAAAAATAGCAAATTGGGCAAATGTTGTCACATGGCATGCAAACTTAATGTGGTTAGCATTGACCTAAGAATTTTTTTTTAAAAAAAAAGATAAATAGGAAGAAAATCAGTAAATGAAGTCAGCTGTAAGGATAACAAAAACAAATCCAATTAAAAGTTGACATGCATAATATAATATAAAGATATGGATAGTAGTCCACCACCACCACTTGTGATTGGGCACATTCAATTATTTTAGTCACACCAAATAAATAGATAAATAAATAAAAACAAGAAACAATCTCATGATATATATATATATATATACACATACATACATAGACGGAACCAACAGTAAAAATTTGGAGGGGCAAAATCATTTTTTTTTTATTTTTTTAATCATGGTACATCTTGACAAAAATAAAAATAAAAAATTGGAAAATATAAATATTTTAGAAAAAATTTCAACAAAATTATAGTTTATGATTTTTGACGGAACAAATTACAATAAAATACATAATTTTATTAGTTTTTACATAAAAACATACATATATTTTAAGGGCTGAGGGGTTAGTTGACCTCTTTAGCCCCATGTAGTTCGGCCACTGTCTACATATATATATATATATTCAGATAATAAAACCATGAAAATGGTTTTAAAAAATTAAGAAATATATATACATATGTCAAAAAATCAGCAATCTTTTACCAATCCAACCATTGTGCTTACTCTTAACATTTGGACCAAAAATTATTGTAAAAATACTCAAAATTGCAATGCTTTCAAGGATGTCTATTAAACACTAATGCATCGGGTCAACATATGTTATATGGATAATCAACATATATTTATACATATTTCATCATATGATGTGTTATAAGATAACATATGTTGAGTAATACTACAATATATGTTGTATTATTAATAGGCTGAAATATTTATAAATATATGTTGATCACCCTTATAGCATATAATGATCCATGCCCCTTTCTGTCCACTTAATAAATATATATTTCATTTTTTTTATATACAAATACAAAATATTTATTTTAATTTTTAGTAAGTGTGAATTTAACCATACATTACAAATACTATTCATCTTTATATTTATTTATATCAATATTTTCATAATAACTTTATGCATCATAGGATAGATAGTCAATTCATAGTATTTAAGACATTATATCAAATACTATATTCGTCCGGCTCTAAGGGTTCCAATTTAATTTTTTGCGTGTTTATCTTTAAATAGTAATTATTATATAAAAAACGTAGTACAAATTAAGAAAGAAAATACAAAAATACTTTCATTAGTGTTTTATAATACTAATAGAATGACATTTGTACAAAATATTATAGGATATTTTTAATGTTAAATATAATGACACAAAATATAAATATAACTCTTAGAGGCGGACTGAGTAGTATCATTTTAATACTATAGCTAAATCAAATTTTCCAAATTCATCCAAAAGAAAAACAGTTAATTGATACTCCCTTCGTCCCATGTAAGTTAGGCGTGTCACGGTACACACGATAATTTAGGTAAAATATGATTAGTAAGTAATTAAAGATTGGATTAGTAAAAATAATTATAAATTAAGATTAAAATAACTAAATAGTTTAATTAAGATTAAAAAAATTATAAAATTTAAAACTTAAAATATGATTAAAGTGTATAATTATATTTTTAAAAGATGAAACAACAATTTACGTAAAATGAATGAAAATAGAAAATAAGGACAAAGGGGACTAGTAAGAAGAGTTTATTTAAACGTGATAATATTAAAATGTATACATTTAAATACTAAAATGTCAGGATGGCCGAGTGGTCTAAGGCGCCAGACTCAAGTTCTGGTTCTCGTGAGAGAGCGTGGGTTCAAATCCCACTTCTGACAGTTTTATTGCTTTTTTTTTTTTTTTTCCTTTTTTAAAGGTTTTCTTATTACTTAATTTAAACTGAATTCAAATTTCACAATTTGCTGCTGCACGATGAACGGGAAGGAATATCGATCAGTTGTGTTATTTTTTACTGTTCATTTTTTAAAAAAATATATTAAATTAAATGATTATTTTAATTTTTAAATTATAGTAAAAATTAATTTTATATTTAAATATCACATCAATATTCATTTATTTTACATAAAACATATACTTCCTCCGTCCGGCTGTAAGAGTTTCATTTACTTTTTGGTCGTTGTATTTAACATTAAAAATATCCTTATATTTGTATAATTTTTTTAATAAATGGAATTATAATAATATTACAAGACTCTAATAAAAATACTTTTTTTTGTCATTTTCTTTTAATTTGTACTACGTTTTTATATATGAATAATTAACATTCAAATATAAAAAATAAAATAAAATAATAAGACCGTTAAAACGAATAAATAGAGTATTTAAATTTAAATATTTACTATTAAAAAAATAAAAAAAAAAATGTTAAACACAAAAGAAACTATAGGGTCTGTTGGCCCATGGATTGTTTTAGAATTGTGATTTTAAAAAAATAATATTTAATACTAGTAGTATTTTTTTATATTACACATAAAATAATAAATTTTAAAATTTTATTACAAAATATAAAAAAATTAAATATTTAATTTAAAATAATATATTTTATAGCTTGAATACAATTTCTTATACTACAAATCAAAATCAATTCATAAAAAAAAGGGCTAAGTGAAGAGAACCTATTGGTGCATTATATTTTGAGTACTCAAGTAGCTGAGCCTGAACTGTCTAAAGTCCTAAATATTCTTAAAAGATCCCGGATCAGAACTCCCCGCCAATCGGGGCCGTCCAATCCCTACGAACAAAAAAGCGTGGCTTCCACGCACTTCCCGTTACCCTATAAATACCACAGCCACCAAAAGTGTAGGCGGTGGAAACAGACACGATCAAACACAGTTGAGAAAGAGATGCAGAAGTCGATGCAAGAGAAGGTGTTGGAGTGGAGCGGAGTGCATCCGGACGACGCCTTCGCCATCGACGGGACGAATCTCTACGAAAAGCTAGGGCTTCAGACATTCATTAACCTGTCCACCAACTTCTACAACAGGTATCGCCTCGTGGTGAATTTCGAGTTCTGTTTTCTGTTGAATTTTCGGAGAATTTGTTTTGGTTAGTTTTTATTTTTGGATTGTCGATGGATCATGGATGGATGACTCGAGTTTGAATCTATGGCGGAATTGACTGCAGACTTGTTTAGGAAGGAAGTTATTAGCCACATTTGAATTGAGGAAATATATAGAAATGGAAATTAGAATCTGGTTTCCTGCATTTTGGGGGTTTCGATAGTGTTTATCTTCGCGTTTTTGGAGAAAACTCATACGGAGGAATTGTAGAGTTAGGTTTAAGTCTTTTGTGTCTTTTTTCACGCACTTGTGGATATATGATTGTTTTTAGTGTAGTTGATTATTGATTTCACTCGGTTGATTATGAGCGTTCATTTTTTGAATTGGAATTGTGAATAACAGAGTTTATGATGATGAGGAGGAAGAGTGGTTTCGATCAATTTTTGCTAATTCCAAAAAGGAAGATGCCATTCAAAATCAATACGAGTTCTTCGTACAGAGAATGGGAGGGCCTCCATTGTACAGCCAAAGAAGAGGTAATCACAGAGAGATATGCTCAAAACTATATTTGTCGCATACCTTCCTCTATTCCTGTGCCTAATCCACATTTCCTGGTTAATGTATTGCATAGAGATTAATTCTAGATTTATATGATGTCAGGTTCCTGCTGATTAGCAGCATTATGTTCTTTTTTTGTGCCTTGGAAGAATGTGCTTGTTAAACTCAGTTCCGGTGTTCAAAATCAATTCCTGTAACTAGATTTAGATTCTTTCTTTTGCAGCAGGAAAAAATGATGTTGATATGCCCTTGAGGCCTGAGGAATTGTATATAGTTTTCTTACATGACAATTGTGCTCCTTGTTAATCTTGAAAGTGAAATTTTTGGGGACTGACTTTGGTAGGTTCGTTGGATGTCAATACTTGTGAAGTTTGAATTGTGTTAGTATTTGTCTTTTATTATATCTGTTGACGGATTAATTGCATATATAGGCATGTATATATATATATATATATATATCTTTTCTTCAGCATTGCATTGTTTAGAATGGGGGATGCATGGCCGGTTAGCGTGCTTGATTAGCTGGTTTGCCCTAATTAGCACATTGTAATATGCCTACAGCACATTGTTGATAAAACAGCATGCGCTGTGTGTGCTTTCTTACCATGCTGGTAGTTCATACAATTTATTTTTGCTATGTTTAGCATGTAGCATGTGCTGTGATGTGAACTATTACTTCATGTTGTCAACATTTGTGTTATGTTAACATTCAATCTTGTGCCGAGATCAATTATATCATATGTTAGTATGCAATTTTACCTTGTGCTATCGGTTAGCCCATCTCAACACATGGTATAGTACTGCAATGCAATCCATGGTTGAAATTAAAGCAGTGCATGTTGTGTGCTTTATTACCATGTTGTCAATTCATATAATATATTAGTGCTGTGTTTACCATGTTGCATGTGCCGTGATGTGCTGCTGTGTGGATTATTACTACGTGCCGCCAACATTTGTGATATGTTAACATGCAATCTTCATATGATGCGTGTAAAGTTACCTTGCTACTGATTAGCCCTAATCAGCATCCTAATTTCCGGCCGCATTGTTTTTTAAGGTTTTGTCACTTGCAAGAAATAAAATCATTAATTCTGAAGTAGTGCGTGGTAAATAATGTCATTACATTATCTTGTCTCTGTTTTCTTGGTGGTTATTAAATGGCTAAAAAGGTATTCAAAAAACTGCTGTTGTTATTTTGATAGGCCATCCTGCATTAATTGCCCGGCACCGGCCCTTCCCGGTCACCCGGGAAGCTGCAGAGAGGTGGCTACACCACATGCAGCAAGCACTGGACACCACTAAGGATATCGATTCAGATTCCAAAACCAAAATGATGAACTTCTTTAGGTAAAATCTTAATCTCCCGAAACCCTCCAAATTAAACAGCGTACATTTCTCGTGTGTTTAATCACGGCTGCCTCTCATCTATCTTGCCGCCAGGCACACTGCCTTCTTTCTCGTCGCCGGAGATGAAATGAAGAACCAGAATAAACAGCCAAAGCCCGCCGAAACAGAATGAACTCAATCGCGCGGATCAGGTATTCTAACAACCTTTATGAACATGTTATTGCGTTATTGAAATAATTTGTTGCGCTACGGATTATATGTACTCTACTGCAAATCCTCTTGAGAATTTCAAGCACAATGTTTGCGGGAAACATTGTCGTTTGGAAGTAGTTTACTTGTTTGCCTGTATGGGCTTAGGCTCCTAATGTATGGATGTAAGCCCACACTGCTGCTGATCATGGTTAACCACATAAATAGCCACTTTTCAACATGGATGGAATTAAATTAATATATATTATATATGTATTGTTAATTCATATTATTTAATTTTTTTTTTTAAAAAAAGAATAGTTGAGATTTTAAATCACCTCCTCGTCCAAATAATTTATTTATGTATTTACTTATTTTAATTGTTTGCTATCTTGTTTATTGGCGTTTTCATTTTTTTTATTAAACAGGGTAGCCAGGAAAAAAAATTAAATAGTTGGTTGCATCTTAGCCTATAAACAACCTTTAATTTTACAATCACTACCTATTTATATAAATATATATATATATATATATATACAAGTAAATATAGGAATGAAAGTCATTAGCATAATAATTAAAATTTAAAATTTCGTAGATTAATGTGCGTTGGGAGTGCTTTGAATATAAATAATTTAGTATAACAAAATTTATTTATAAAATATTCCAAATTAAAAAATAATTATTATATCTGAAAATACCAACAAACAGGGCTTACTAAAAGAAGAATATTTTTAGGGAAAAAATCATTTTTTGTCCCAATATTACTAAAATTCATTAATTTTCATCCCAATATAAAAATTTTATTATTTTTTGTCATGATATAACCAAAATTCATCATTATTTTTGGTTCAAATATAATCAAATTTTATTTTATTTTATTTTTCACAGTTAACAAACCGACGGAAAATATTGACGTGAAAATAAATCAAACTTTATATTTATATTTGAAGAAATCGCACAATCTTGCAAGTTCAAGTCAGCATTTTTCGTCAATTTGTTGAAGGTGAGACAAAAAAAAAAGGTTTGATTATATTGTGACAAAAAATAATGAGTTTTGATTATATTGGGACTGAAAATATGAGTTTTGGTTATATTGTGACTAAAATTGATAAAAATTTTATATTGGGATAAAAAATAATGAGTTTTGATTATATTGGGAATTGATATTTTTATATTATGACCAAAATTGATGAATTTTATTTATATTGGGACAAAAATAAATTTTTCCCATATTTTTATTAAAATAGATAGATAGTGTGAATGTGTTATGAATTTAATTTGAAAAAGTATTTTGTTAAATTCAAGGGGGCTATGATATATATATATATATATATTTATAGGAATTTGAAAAAACAAGGTATGAAAAATAAAAAACGTCTTTTAAAAATATAAAATATTATGAAATAAACACACGCTTAAATATGCACAATGAATATTTCGGCAGCCGCGAATGCAACATACACAGACAGACATGTACGGAATACAATAGATACATACATACATATACATACATCGACAGGTGCAAAAAACGTGAGGCGGCAAAATAAATAACTGAACTAAAACTAACCTGTTTCATTGATTCTGATCAAATCGAAAACAGGAGGAAATGGCGACGACGATGGATTCGCGTATTTGGCGGAGAAAGACCTTCGGAAGTACTCTGGCTCCTCAACCTGCTCGATTCCTTCGTCAAAATTCTGCAGGTAACTGTCGCGATCGTACGACGACCATCTCTTCTTCTTTCCTGTATTTGTTAAGCTTCTCCACATCAACGCAATCCATTTCTGATTCCGTTCGTACTGCGTTTCCGGTGGCTGCGCGTAGGCTTGGCCTCCTAACCGCACGCTTTTGCTGCGCGTCTTCTTCCAGCCGGCGAAAGTGATCGCCATTGAAATTAAGTGCGAAGAAAGAGGAATAAGGAATTAGTACGGCGATTGAGTCTGCTAATTGGAACTTGAAGACTCGTCCATGGAATTGGTAATTTACTCTCTCTCTCTCTCTCTATATATATATATATATAATACATATATAATATTGATGATTAATTGATTATTCTGAATTATACCATAATTGACTATATGTGTGGTTTTTTATTTTTGGGATATGTTTGTAGTGTCAAAGGATGATATGATAAAATCAGATAAGATAAAGTCATGGTGAATTTTTTTTACTTTTTTTTCCAAAAATTCGCTGTTCTTCGAAAAATATTATATTTATTTTTCTCACAAAATATCTTATCAAATATTATTTTAATACTAAATTTAAACCAAATTTTCTTAAACTCAACCAAAAGACACACCCTATATTTATTATCCTGTTCAAATATTCAAACATAAACATTAATAAAAATAATAATAATAGTTATTTTTTTATTTTATAGTAAAAAATATATACTGTTATAATAATATAGATATCTAACAAAAATAATAATAATAATAAATGACGGATAAATATATTTTTTTAAATAAAAAATAATTTTGAAATATATTATTTTATGAAAAAATAATACTATTATATAGTAGTATGATATTTTGTAAAAAGTACTTAAATAATAATAAGGCAAATCATATATATATATATATGTTAGTGACAGATAATATATTGTGTAGTTAAAGGAAGTATGTAATGCGCTGGCGCCATTTAATATATATAGTCTTTGTTCTCATATTGAAGTTTCAAAGATTTGAAACTTAAAAAATACGTGTGTGTGTATATATCTATGATGAAATAATATTAGAACATAATAATAACAATAATAATTCGAATTATGTGTAAATTGTATGCAATAGTTTATTTATTTATTTATTTTTGTTTTCACTAAGGGTGTGTTTGTTTGAGGGATTTGTTTGGATTTCTACTATTCATCCTATTTTTTTCCCCAAAAAACATCAAATCAAATACCTATTTTTTATTTTTTATATTATACTAAAAATCAATTTTACATTCAAAACATCACCTCAACACCTATTTATATCACATCATACAACTATTCAAATTCAAAATTTTCATTGTTCAAATCCCAACTCAAAATCCAAACCCTCAAACAAACACACCCTTACAATATAATTTTAGCACCTTTTATTTGTTTGATGTACAAATATTTAATATATCTATTTGTTCTAAATTAAAATTAAATACAATTTTTAATAGAAAAAAAAAATATTATTTTCTTATATAAAATAAAAATAAATCACAAACCAAAATCAAACACACCCTTAGTATCATTAAATTTTTATAAGTATAATTTAATAGTCCTATATTATTATATGCTAGTAATACTTGAGGAAATTAATAAATATACATAGAGATAGAGAGAGATAGGTAGAGGTAGAGTGGGAGGATACTAATTAGGAAATTAAGCAACAGAGTGCAATGATTGTTGTTTGCAGCATTAATAGTTAGTGTAATTATCTCTAATACGGCGCCGCATATCATATACTTTCTTGTCCTACATAATTTATTTATTTTGTTTCTTTCTATATAATTTATTTTATTTTTAATAATATATAATTTCTTTTTAGTTTAATTAAGTTATTTTGTATTTTAATATAAATTTATAATTATTTTATCAATATATTTTATTAATTATTAATTAATTATCAATTTACTTAATTTTTTTCGACACGAAATAATTGCGTTTGGGTCAAAGATTTCAACCCGATTATGTATACGGGTTGACACGAACCCAACACGATAGCAAACGGGTCGGGTTAGGGTTGAGACTCAACTCGAATCCAACACGACAATCCAATTATAATATATTCATTATATATGTAAAATAATCATACTTTAATAATTTTCTCATAAATTAATTTAAACTAAGTTCAATTTTAAATACTTCAATAAATCAAAAAAATTTGACTTAATTATGTATACGGATCAACACTAGTCAACCCAAATCATACACGATAATAAACGGGTCAATCCGAATCCAACACGATAATAAACGGGTCAAATTAGAATTGAATAATTTAACCCGTTTAAAATATTCAACCCGACACGAATCGACCCATTGCCAGCTGTTGCATATATGTATAAAATTATATCATGTGTTATATTTATATTATTAATATAAATAGTATGTTGTCAAATAATAATATCGTATGTTATTACTAATATATTAAAAGATGGCTCTATAACTTGAATAGAATGAACAAAATTAGAGCCAATATTAATCACAATCATCGTTGTCCAAGTTTGATGATACAAAAAACACATATCCCCAACATCAATTCTTTGCTCGAGAAGTTCCATGAAATGAATCTTCAAGAGCAAAGGGTATTCGGGTAATGTGTTAGTTTACAATAAGAAGAAGACCAAGACATTACAAACACATAATTCCCGACCGGATCGGTCTCAATCTTCTCGCCGGTGACTCCCTACCCTGTGGATAGAAGTCTTACCGGAAGAACATTTGAGACAGACGATCGGATGATCTTACATATTCACATGAAATCTTCCTCGAGTTCTTGCAAGGATTTGGTGGTAGAAGCTACGTCTTTGTTAGATGTCATTTTGTCGGCTACCATCAAATGTTTGTAGCTCCGTAGCTCAGCTTGCCTCTCCTTTTCGAGCTTTTCCAATTCCTCGCGCCGTTTCTGCAAAAAAGGGGTTTCGGAAAAAAATTGAATGGTTGGTAACATTTACAATGTTCAACCCCATCGCTCTATAGATTTGTTTAGGGGTCAAAACCATTCGAACATATGCTTTTTGAGTATCTTATTGTCGAGGTCGAGCTTAACTAGCATTGCTTTCGAATAGAGCTAGCAAAAACTGACTCGACACGAAATAATTGGGTTTGGGTCAAAAATTTCAACCCAATTTATACGGGTTGACACGAACCCGACACGATAATGAACGAGTGGGATTAGGATTGAGGCTCTCAACTTGAATACGACACGACAATTCGATTATAATATATTAATATTTATTATATATGTACAATAATTATGATTTAATAATTTGTTCATAGAAGTTCAATTTTAAATAATTCAACCAAATTCATTGTACACATTACGCTCGAACTAATAAAAATTAACATATCACGACAACATAATAAAAAACAATTTAATTTGAATAAACAATTGCGACTTAATTATGTATATGGGTCAACACGAGTCAACAAGAACCCGACACGATAATAAAAGGGTCGGATTAAAGTTGAGTAATTTAACCCGTTTAAAGTATTCAATCCGACACAAATCTACTTTTGAATAGCTCGGCCCGTATCACAAATTTACATGAAACAGGTTCGCAATTAATTCGATCGAAAAAAGAATTAAGACTTACTTTTTCCCGGAGATGTTGTTTTCTCTCGGCCCTTTCAGCTGCATTAACCGCCTCTCGTTCGGCTAAATGTAAGAAAAACACACTTAACGATTTTGTAATCATAAAGACAACCAAATGCTAGAAATTCTGATGTCTTGACAGCCGAAAAAAATAGTTTTCGGGGACAGCAGAGCATATGTTGAAATCTTTACCTTTCAAATCCGGCGTTCTTTCGACCTTTGTCTTGTTCAGGCGATTAATAATCTCGTTTATTCGCTTTTCCACTTTCACAGTACGTACCTACCGAATCAAATGAAAGAAACATGAGAAGAATGCGAAACACAGACCTCAAGCTACCGAGCAAAAACCAGTACAAAAAAATAATAAAGATGAAGCTCACCATTTTTGAACTGTGGAAACCAACTTGCCCGACATCCATCGAGGCAGTCTTCTTAAGATTTGCCCATGGAGTGTAAACGACATCGATGTTATTTACCTTATTTCCTGCAAGATCAACAAAATCATACGACCAATTGCATAAAATGTAAATCCCTGGCTTCAACGACTTTGAGCCAAGTAAGATTCAATTCCCAAAAAAAAATTGCCTTGAATCGAATTTGCTTTAACAAGTTGGGCGCAATCTTCCAACACGCCTTCGGGTATATCATCGACGGATTGACCTTTGTTCAGTCTCAAATACACATGGGCCGAAGACATTTTATCCACATGGAACCTGCGATGAACGAAATATGTAAGTCGTAACAATGGTCGGATAAGAATGCAAAGCTCAGAAATACCCTTCGGTATTTTAAAGATTAAGTTTAGGCAACCATCAATAAAGCTAATACGAATGGATCAGGAGCTGCAAACCCGTACTACAATCTTTGAATTGGAGATAGTCGAAAGACTCAAAACAGAGTATATATATTCCAAAGAGATATTCCATTATTCCCCTTGTTCGAGCCTTTATTTGAAGAACATATTGATTTTAAACTTTCAACCAGATAGATAGAGATAGAAACATCTTTACAATTCTAAAATACTTTTAATAGAACCGTGACGAGCGAATGATCAAAATCTATCAATAAGCAAATGCAAATTCTTGAAGAAGATAATAATACAAACATCAAATCTTCAATTTATCAGCCAAGTTGAATTGAAATAAGCCAACACCAAATCATACAATAATATATATCTATAACAGTAATCGAAGAGCTTTCTGTTCCGAATCAATCCCTAGTTACAGAAATCAAAGTTTTCGTCCAGCAATTTCAAACGACAAAAATTCTTGCTCAATCTAAACGATCGCCATGGAAGCAATTCCATCCTCAGAATTTCACGGCGGTTATCATTATCAAGGTAAAACACACAAACGAAAATGCTTGAAATTCTCACTATAGAAACAAAAAATTGGAAGGATCAGTTCCAAACGATGGAATTAAAGATCTATTTCACCGAATTGAGACTAGAATTTCAAAAATAACAATAAGAAGAAAAGGAAGAAGCACGAAATTAAAAAAACAGTACCAGACATCTTCGGGGAAGCCGTATTTGATGAGCTCCTCGTTCTCATATTTGTCGAGCCCCATGAATATGGTGTAGTCTCCTTCCTCCGGTCGCGCCTTGAAGTAGAACACCATCGTTCCTCTTTCTCTCTCTCTGTTTCTCTCTCTAGGGTTCAACTGCCAATTTCTCTTTGCTCCTCCTAAACTGTGGTTGTTTGGTACAAAGGCGTGATCAAATACATGAACCCTCCGTACCCGACCCGATTTGGGCAGATCGAATCGGGCCCCGGAAGGCCCGGATCCTGTACTCCCCAAATAAAAATTCACAACCAAATGGCAGAAATAAGTCAAAAATGGATTAGCAGCATATTCCTTCAACTAGTCAAGAATGAATAATTTGAACCCATCTTTCTTCTTCTTCGTCTGCTCTTTCTTTTTGTTAAAGGGTCGCCATTGTTGTTGGTATTTAAAGCTTGCTGTGTTGAATTTGGAGAGATTCTGGGAAAGTGGTTGGCTTAAAAAAACAAAAAGAACCAAATTTGGAGATTCCTCATTGAGTCATTGCCAGCCATAACCAATGCCTACCTCTGTTAGTTTATTGAAATCAAACATTATTATTTCTGTAATTCTTTATTCTACTTGCTTAATGGGAATATTATCTCTATTATTTTTCTTGTTCTTGATTCATGTATGGGAATATTCTTTCTTTAATTATGTGTTTGTGGTAAGGAATCCAGTTCCTTTTTATATCCACTCTATTTTTATAACGTATCCTTACATAAAGGAAGTGGGATTTGTGATGGTTTTTACTCATTAAAATATTATATATATATATATATTATTTATGTAGAAAATTGAAAACTCAACGTAAGGACACAAACTACAAAATCAGTTCTTGGAAACATATATTCAGCAATGCTTAATGCATTTTCAAGAATATAAGTAGATTAGAATTTGATTTCCAAAGGTTAATAATAAGTCCAAATCACACTTTTATGTTGAAAGAAATTCACATCGCATAGAAATTCCAACGATATATACAAGTCGAGGAGTTAGTTGTTACTGTGCTGAATTTTATAACTCAACACAATGTAGATAAAAACATACAACACACATATTTATAGGGCAAAAGTTTAACATACCGTAATCTAACACAACACGTGCTACCATTGATTTTTATTTCAGCGGTGAAAGTATATTTATGCAGCACTCCTACAAATATAAACAAACAACACGGTACTTTTATGTGATATATAGCATGTGTTGTTGTCAGCACAGTAATCATCCCCATAAGTCGAACATAGTCACAGTTAAAGCAAAACAACAAAAATATTATCCAAGCATTCAATTTAAACCCAAATACAAACCTCAACATTTAAAGTCAAATCAACAATACACTCTTGCAAGTTATCTTTCCTACATCCATGAAATCAGAAGGTTTCAATCTTTTAATGATTAAACAGTTAAAAACAATTGCTACAAAAGGAGAGTTAGGGAACACACTGATACAGCCTTCCAGCTCTGATGAAGCTGTGGTGATCAAGAAAATGATTTTAGAGTGTGTGGCTGAGAAAGGCATAAATAGCAAGGCGAAATTAAAACTGACTTTGCTGAAATACACAGTCAATTTCAGTATATCCAAGCCGGGATACATGATGGCAATGTTACGAATTGCATAACAGGCCAGTGAGAAAAAGGAATACAGCTAGCGAATTGTTATGCAGTGTTGTACCAACACAAGATATGTAAGACAGTGGCTTACTAGGTTTCCCTGGTGAAAGCCAATAGGTCAAGAACAGAAGCCATGGCTGTGTGGCTATTGGGCATGGCTTCTTCGATTTCCCAGCATTTGGCTTTGTGGGTTCTCAAGGTGAAGCCTAGGGGGTCTTCCGGTTTGCCTTTTCTACCTGAGGATAACATTGTGTGGAGTAGTTAGATCTAGAATATGAGACATGATTATTATGTTGCCAGATTAGTAAGAAATCACGGGCAAGTTGAGGATTTAGATGCTACAGAGTAGATCTAATGTGTTTGACAATAACAATTAGTGAAAGGTTTTTAGATGACCACTCTTCTTTCCCCAAGTAACATGCATCAGTTCAAGTAAGAATCGATTATAATCTAACTTAAATCAATATATACCAGTAGTACACAATATAGGGAATTTTGTGTCGATACATTAATGAAGAAAACAATGTGGAACACAAGGTTGTAATTTCAGGATGCAATTATGTAAAGACATAGCCAGCTCATGCTAACTAAAATTTCCGTTCTTTCTCTCACACCAAAGTGTTCCAGATTAAACAAAGAATTACACCCACATATTCCGTTAGCGAAATACGGAAGACATCATCTCCCTACAGGAAACAATCTTATCAAGCAATAAAACATGAAATAAGCATTTCAACTAAACTATAAATATATTAAGAACCTTTAACGAACATAAATTTTTAGAACTATGTTGTGTTGCAACTCAAGTACTCAGCTAAAATGATGTAGCTATTAGTCAATCTGTAGATGTGTATCACCAGTGATCAAGTTCTGGTGGATCAGAAATACCTTTAAATCAGTCGATTCATTTCGCATAAGCTGGTCACGGATGGTCCCATTGAACGCCACATTGAAAACCATGTGAAAGAAGCTATGCAAAACCAGCAACTTTCATCTCATTCACCAGCATGTTATATTTCTCTAATAGGCCTACCCGTCGGTAGCCAGCGCCCAATAAATCATATATGGACCTAGTAAGCTCGTATGATTCTCTTATACGTTCCAGAAACAAGTCCAATCGATCATAAGCTTCCATCCGGAAATAAGAACAAATTATCTCTTCAACATCTTTTGCAGAAGTGAACGATATACCCTGCTTTAGCATTCTCCCCACAGAGTACTCAACATCATCTAATCTATCTTTTCTTGCGTACACTCTCAATATTGAACAGTGGACCACCGAAAGAACTTCTGACATTTGATTGGATTCCGACAAAATTACTAGCAATTCTTCCAACATGTCTATTTGCCCAAATTCACTATACAAATTCACAACCTTTTTGACGATACTACAATCAATCTTCCATCTGCTATGTCGCAGAAATTTCAAAATATCTTTGACCTCATTAAACCTTTTCTTCTGGCAAAACATCAAGAGCATATCATGAAATATGGATTCATTAGGCATTAATCCAGCCAACAGAATTTCATTATAATACCTCTCACTATCCTCAAAATTCTTCGATTTTATACAACAACGAATGAGAAAACCATATGTTTGAACATCATCAACTGGAAATCCAGAACTCTCCTTAGTTACTACCCAATCTTCAACTGCATTCTTGTTTCCCATATTTGCATATGCCGAAATAAAGTGATTGTAAGTATCTGCATCCGGCTGGTAGCCCTCAGAATTCTTCATTATTTCGAACAAACTTAATGCTGTAAGCAAATTACCAGAAGATAAGCTCGCGGAGACAAGGGCATTGAATACTGATGTTGTAGGTGCAACTCCTTGAGCCTCCATAGATGTAAAAATGAGCAATGCAATAGGGAGATTTCTAATCTTTTCACATAAAAATATCAACTGAGCATAACTTTCTTGGTTTTGATTATTCCCCTTTGTCAGTTTCTCTAGTTTCCATTCAATAACCTGTCTATACAAACAAAGAATTTGGCATCGGATACACTTCAATGTAAAAGATTGCACAATCCAATTAAATTTTCTTCATATTTAAAGCTCAATGGAATAAAAGAATGAATACAGATAAAACTCTCTCTGTAAAAATTGAACGAAATTTTAGAACTTAAATCCTTTAAATTTGAATGATAATCATATAACATAAATCAAACTAGCTATCAACAAATGATTTAGTTGAATTCATTCAAAGCATAAATGCATTTCAACATAGAAGGACGAACAATGTGATTACCAAATTAGCTTTCTGCGGCGCGGAGGTGCTGAGAGCAGTGAGAAGAGCTGCCCATGGAAACTCGGTTGACTCGCCGCCGAGCTCTGAGTCAAGAGTTGCTTTGATTCCAGAGAGGGGAACCTTAAGAAGCTTCTGAAGCAGACACACGTCAGATTCCGACGAGCTCGAAGAAGAGCCGCGGCGGCTCAAAATCCACGCAAATCGGCGGCGGCTTTCGGTTATCACGTAGGTATTCTTCGCTCGTAGTATCGGCAGCGTCACTCTGCTCCCCGCTGCCGCCATTGATTCTGATTCTCAGTTCCTTTTCTGGGGTTTCAATGAGACTTTTAAATATTCACTCCAAAATCGTGCCCACTTATAACCACGACTTCACTTATAAACTTTAAAAACGTGCCATTATATTACGCTTTGTCTACACTCTACACAGACTAATATATAGGAGTTGGAAAAAATATCAAATTGACGAAATCCTGCGCATGTTATAAAAAATAGGGTTGATATATTAATATTCAATATATTGATACCATAATTTTAATACCATACCGAAAATTTCGGTACAATTTGCAATTTGATCCTGCATTTTTGATATATCGTACCCATTAACCTTAAGCCGTACGAGCAACTTCGTGTTCTCGTTTTCGAAGGGATCAACCTTCCCGATCGCCGATAAAACATCGGGATATAAACATGTACTGTTAAAACAACAGTATTCATCATTCCTAAGACCTCAAAAACATTGTAAGTATCCATTGATCATTTCCTATGTTGTGTTTGACGATATATGTAAGGAGAGCTAGAAACCGAAGCATCGTTGTCATCCGCGTCATCAAGAACGAGTTTGACGCCGTTGTTTTTCAGGGAGTTTACGATAGCCCAAACCTTGGTGTTGTTCTTGAGACCTTTTTTCTCGATTTCTTTGTTGACATTGACGTGAATTCCTCGACCTTGCCCCTGCTCAAGGCCGTCCACTCGAAGTCTCATCGCCAGCACCTCGCCCACAACCGCGGCTGCCTTTGCATTGCAAGTGCGGCTGCATTCGAGTGTTCTCTTTAGAGAGTGCTCCACGGTTGAAGCCGTTGCGACTATGCGCCCGTTGTTCCTGTCGACGACGTTTGCGGTGATATACTTCAATGAGATGAAAAGTTTCAACACGTACCTCTTCAGCACTGTCATGTTTCGACAAGTTGATCTGTAGAGGGGAAATTGATTCACAATGGTTAAAGAATTTAAACTTCATAAATACCTTAGAATATACATAAATAGAGATATACAAAATTCATGTATTTTTCTCTTTTAAAGGAACGACTCGACCGTAGATTTGTTCATCAATCAATTATAATCAATAGATGCTGATACAGCTTCACGATGTAAAGGGATTTGCAAACACCGTAGTTATACAGCAAAATTCATGTACTTTACTAATTAAAGATTGCGTATTTTCCAACATTGGTCAATTAAATCGATAAATGCAGATACTTTGTTGAATGATTTGGTATCTCTTGCAGAAGCCATAGGTATTAAACTAGCCGTAGGTTTATAACCAACTGCATTACTTACACTAATTTTCCGAAATGCCTTAATTTCGACAAAGATTATTCAGATTTTCTCATTCCTATGTCCATCACACAATTCAATCACTAAATATAACAAAATCTCGTTTTCATTTTTAAAAATCAATAAGTAGTAACATTTAACTTAGTGAAAATCCAGACATTTTCAGATGCATATATATATATATATATATTTGCATCTAAGAAACGAGAAGATCAATAGTTAAGCATACCTGACAGACACCCACAATTCGATGGAAATTGCCTTCAACCCTGATCACTTTCATCCATGTATCGAGATAGTCAAGCTGAGCATGACTGATCATATAATGCAAAAATGACCATTAGGTGTAAGAATATCATCAAGCTGAGAAAATAACTTGACCTACAAAGATGGATGAGCAGTGGCAAAAAAACAAAAAACCATAACAGCATAAGAGCATGACACTTCAGCTGGCTAGATATTCATTAAAATGTTCTGCAATTCACTACATGTCTTTATAGTTCATCATAGCTGTTTGCACTCCCCCAGGACAACATGCTAAAACCGAATTACGAGTAACGAGTAAAACATGTGAGTGCAAATCAAATGCATAAAGATAAACTCAGTCCCATGTGTTTGTTTGTGTTCTCAAATTTCAATTATGCGTTCGCAATATGCAATTCCGAGTAAAGTATCTTTTTCCCCTTACGAAAACCATCACAACCAATGCCTATTTTCTATTTAAAGCATCACGTCCAACTCAAACCCGGAAAACATCTCAAAACACACATATCATATATTTATATTCCCAATTGAAGGCCTGATTCATATAGTTGTTCGTGCATTTTCCAGGAAAAGAATTTAAAATTGAACAAAATGAAACAAGTAAAAATGCAAACAGATACAGAACAGTTATTGTGCTTGGAGATAAAACCATAGCTGCCCAAATGCTTCTTAGAAACAATTATACCAAAAAAGAGGAGACGATACAAGAGAAACAAACTAAAATTAGCTCCAAGTAAAAGAAATCAGTAAAACATAACATAAATGGTGAGCAGATAGTGAATCATCTAATACAATATCCTCACATTGACACTTTTACTTAGAACAAAGCAAAAATCAGAGTTCATTTGGATGCTAGTTTCGAGTCTTATGAATCAAATTAAAAACCCTAATCTCTAACTACTTCCAATTGCATTTATTTTAAGACTACTCCTGAATTAATCCAAAATTCTAATTCATTCATGGACAAAGATACACCACGCCTGGTTCACTAACTCGGCCGGTAAATATATGTATCCGACAGCAATTCACGATACGATGTTAATAGCGAATCAATCTTTCCTAGGTCTATTCATAAATCATAAAGGGTCCAAAATAGCTTCCATCCGGATCGCCCAAGTGGTGTAATTCGAAGAATTTAGCTAACTATTTCGAGTATGAATTGGTACAACTAGACTGATATCTAAACGATTTGCACCAAAAATTTTCTAAAAAAACGCAGCAATTCATACATCGAATTTACAAAGGCAAAACAGGCAAGACGTCAAAATAGCTTCAAATGCTTTAAACATAGAAAATGGGGACCGAACTCACAATTTTCAACAGTGCCGGTTGAAGACGACGACGCGAAGGAAGAATCGGTCAGGGCAGAAATTGATAATAGGTACGCTGTTTTCAGAAATTGTTTTTAAATGTTTTATTAATAAATATTTATTAATAAAGTTCCATCCACTCTTAAGATTTAAGAATGATTAGAAATAGGGTATATTTATTTATTTTTAAAAAATTTTGAGCAATATAATAAAATAAAATATTTTTTATTTTAAAATATAACCTAATATGTGAAAAAAATCAAAATAAAAAATATAATATATAAGACAAAAATATATTTGTATAGAGATACGTAACGTAATACAAAAAATTAAAATCAAACTCCAAATAAACAACATCGTGTTTCTCAATTTGTTTTTCTTTTATTATTTTATTGTTATGTTAATTAATTTTTTGTTTTTAAAATAGAGTAATTATTGAATATAATATTTTCAATAAAAATGTTTATATAGTAATATTTTAAAGAAAATTCTAGAATTGAATGGCATACAAACATATGTATTTACATTTGTTTTGAAAACGTTTTTTATTTTGTTCTTTCGTAAATTTTACATAAAGATTTTTATTATTCAATTTTTTTTTATAAAAATATCAAATTAAATAATAATTATTATTTTTTATATTATATTATAAATTTATTTTATATTCAAAATATCACATTAATCGATCTATTATATCACATCAAATAACTACTCCCTTCGTCCTAAAACTATAGTTTGGGTTGTGTTTGACACGAGATTTAATATTTATTAAATATTGATATTGTATTGATAGTGGATAAAAAATAATTTTTTTTACCTTTTATGACTAGTTTTATTTATTTATGAAAATAAAATTATTGTTTTGTAACGGACAAAATTAGTATTTGATTCAATTTTTTACTATTAAAAAATCGAAACTAAAAAAAAAAAAAATTGAATTAGTTTATTTTTTTTTTATATTATAAAGACCCAGTAATGCATCTTTCATACTTTAGGGCCGCTCTAAACCTAAAGTGAGGGCTTTGAAAAATAAAATTGGGTTTTAAAAGATGGGCCAAACAAGTCCAATATAAATGTTGTGTATTTATAATACAATAAATTGGGTCTATATTGTCAATTCAATACTTTAAACATCTTATACTATTTTTTTAAGAAAAGAATTATATATATATATTAATTTCATTTTAAATTTAATTAGATTAATTAATTATTTTAATTTTAATTTATAATTATTTTTATTATACGATAATTATTTTTATTAATATAATTTTTATTTATTTACTAATTACATATTTCTTAAATTTTGTATTTATAATAATGTATTTAATATATTATTTCAGTTTTATTTATCATTTAGGATTCTCCTATTTAAATATACAGTCCCTCTACTAAATTTTCAATTTATTTGTAATTATCAAAATACCATAATACATTTCACTCTTTACAATTACTAAATCTAATACTTCTCATCACCTCCGGTATAAAATGTCATTTTTTATTTTTTTATTTGCCATTCCCACATAATTTTTTTTTTTTTAAAAAAATAATAATTATGCACTTTAATTATATTTAAAATTTTATAACTTGTTTACTTTTAATCTTAATTTATAATTATTTGTATTATATAATAAATATTTTTACTGATACATTTTTATTTACCGGCTGGACTATTGAGTTGGAAGTTGAGTTGGAATTGATTTATTTAATGATTTATGATATAATATATATAATTTAAAAAATTTAAAATATGTTGAATTTTTTTAATAATATATACAATATGAATATCATTTTGTAAATCATAAAAATTTATATAATACAAATAAATAAAAAATATATATATTTATTTATGATTAACATAGAGGGGAGATTTTGAATGTATATATATTTGTTTATCAAGGGTGTGTTCGTTTGATGGATTTGGATAAAATTTCACTATTCATCCAAAATTTTCCCCCCAAAAATATCAAATCAAACACCTATTTTTCATTTTTTATATTATACTAAAAATCAATTTTACATTCAAAACATCACATCATCACCTATTTATATCACATCATACAACTATTCAAATTCAAAATTTTTACTATTCGAATCCCAACTCAAAATCCAAACCCCCAAACAAACACACCCTAAGAAGAAAAATAAAAATAAAATTTCTAAAGAAATTTTGAATTGAGTCTCATGTAATGTAATATTTTGGAAAAAAAAATTAAGAGCATAGTGTCAACTTTGACTGGGAAGCCAACCCAACACACTATCATCTTAATTTTAATTCATAATAATTTATATTATATAATAATACTATCTCCGTCCCAGATTCCATTTTCTATTTTTATCTGTCCTAACAATTTTCTAATTTAGTAATTGTACTACTTGTATAACCTAATAAATACCATTTCAACTTACAATATATTACATAAATGTCATCACTTTTACATTACACAATACATATTTTCGTCTTTTTACTACAACTAAATATAATACTAATATTAAAAAATCTACGTACAAAAAGCAAGCATTTATTACTCTTTATATCGGACGGAGGAAATAATATATTTTTTAACTATTTACTAATTATATTTTTACTAATTATATTTTTTATAAAATTTAGTCAATACAGTCAAAGGGATAATTTTTATGGGATGAATGGTCTAAATTGGACTTGTCATTATGTTTACCTATAAGTTATAAGTTAGAGTACACTCGTAAAATAACTTAATTCCAACTTCATTAATATATAAATATATATATATATATACACAGTGGCGGCGGACCTAGAAGCAAGGATGGGCTGCAGCCCATTCTTCCCATTTCAATTCTATTTTTACTCTATTTTATTATTTTTTTTATTTTTAAAAAAATAATATATATATAATCTATAGAAAATATTTAAAATAAATAAAAATAATAATAAAAATATTAAAGTGTTCGATTTTTTTTAATAAGAAACTGCATTAGGTTTTCTTTTTCAAAATATAATATATCAATATTTACTATTAAAAAGATTATTATTTTTTATTTGGATTATATTTGATGTAATAATTATTATTTAATATTAGTATGCAAAAAATAAATATAAACTTATTAAGTGGACAATAGTAATATTATTTTATAAATAAAAAAAATTGTATAAAAATTTTGCCTCCTCCCTCTCTGTTAATATTCTAGTTCCGCCACTGTATATATGACACTGATATATATATTTTTGTTCCGCCAATATATATATATATATGACACCGATATATATATATATATATATATATGCTTTGCTTTTGCTTTCTTACATACATACACTTGCAAGCTACCTCTTTTGCACTTTAAGCAGCAGCAGCTGATATATTGATCAATATATATATATAGAGAGGTAGTAGGTAGTATATATACCGACCATCGTAGACTTTTTTTTAGGTCCGAGTGAAAATAAATCATAAGTCTTATAAATACATGATTAAAATATATTTTTAAAATAATATCACTGATTGACATCGATTGGATAAGAGGTAAAAGTGGCTGTTTGGACAATGTCAATTTGAAAAAAAAAAAAAGGATGAAAGACGTCTATCTGGAAATTAAGAAAAGCGAGAAAGACTGAAAGAGGGTGAAAGAAATAAAAGGTAATGTGAAGTGGGTTTGGTCTGAGTTGGTGGGCGCAATGCGACATGCGTAAGGTAAAAAAGTGTAGTCGACGATTAAATTTGAAAAGATAGAGTGAAGCGTGGTTAGAAAAAAAAAGAGATAGAAGAAAAATATTAGATTAGAACTTAAAATTTAATTTTAAAATTAAATAGGATAATTATGAAAAAAGAAAAAATATAAACTTAGATAATATTTTAAAATATGTGCCTTCTATTAATTAAGGTCCGAGCAATTGTTCAATCTGCTTCTGCTATGAGCTGTCCTTCTATATATATAGAGCATGCATGCAGCATATATATATATATATATAGTATTTGTTATGTACTCCTCTATTTCAAACACTGTGCAATATACGAGTTCGACATGAAAATTTAGGTGGATAGTATGAAGTAGGGTAATTTGAGATGATTTGGAGATGATGTGAGATGATAAAATGAAATGTATATATATAAATATAATTAATTATTACTAAATATAGAAATACTATAGTAAATTTGAGACAAATAAAAAAAATATTGCAAGTATATACTCCCTCCGTCATACAAATATATGTTTATTTGATCGGACACAAATTTTAATAAAAATGAGTAATAATGGTTACTTTTTTTATAGTAAAAAAAAATACAAAAATATAATAATTTTTTACTTAGAAAGAAAACAAAAGTATTTTTATAACACAAAAAAATAAAAATAAAAATATATTTAAATGATGAAAGTAGTACTCCCTCCGTCCCAGATACCGTGTCTGCTACACTGTAGACATGGTATTTTAGGAGAGGTATTATCAGTAGATAATTAAGAATGTATCAGTGAAAATAATTATCCTATAATATAAATAATTATAAATTAAGATTAAGATAACTGATTAGTTTAATTAAAATTAAAAAAAAAATTAAAATTTAAAATGAGATTAAAGTGTGTAATCATTTTTTTTTTAAAAAAAAAAGTGACATAGTATGTGAGACGGATAGAAACGGCATCGTGGACATGATATCTAGGAGGGAGGGAGTATTATTTATGACGATGATCCCCACTAGTATAATTACTGGTAAGTGGAACTGGTCCCTCTCCTCCTCCAACATTGGGAAGGTCGTTGTCATGCGCCTGCAGGCTGCAGTTCTACATCTACCCAGGAATTAGTTAACACCATCCCAATATATATAATACTATTTATATTGCTCTTTTCTTGCATGCACTCACTCACACACTCAACAATACATACATACATATATATATATATATATGATCTCCTTTCGATCTACTATATATACTTACACTGCTCTCTGCTCCCCAAATATACTGGAATGAGAAATCGAGTACTACTTTTAGGCCATCCGCATGGTTGCAAACGTGGCATTATTAAATTTAAAAAGAAAAAAATAAAATAATTTGAGTTGCTGTAGAAAGAATCCCAACAAAATCTTCCTATTTTTTGTTTTGTATTTATTTATTTTTAATTTTTTATATTTT